GAAAGCTTTGAAAGTTTGATAATTGAAAAGTTTTAAGGTTTGAGAATTGAAAGCTCTGAAAGTTTGATAATTGAGAAGTTTTAAGGTTTGAGAATTGAAAGCTTTGAAAGTTTGATAATTGAGAAGTTTGAAGGTTTGAGAATTGAAAACTTTGAAAGTTTGAAGGTTTGAGAATTGAAAACTTTGAAAGTTTGAAGATTTGAGAATTAAAAATTTTGAAAGTTCGAAGGTTCGAGAGTTGAAAACTTTGAAAGTTTGATAATTGAAAAGTTTGAACGCTTGAAAATGGGAAAATTGAAAATGTTGAAAGCTTAGAAGTTTAAAAATGGGAAAATTGAAACATTTGAAAGTTTGGGAATTGAAAACCTTAAAAGTTTGATAATTAAAAACTTTAAATATCTGAAAATGGGAAGATTGAAGATTAGGAAACTTCGGAGTCTGAAGACTGGACACCTCGAGATCCGTAAATTTCAAAATCTCCAAGTTTCCCATCGCGAGCAACGTTTTCGCTCGGAAACCGCAAGATGTAACAATGCAACAATATCCAACGAGCGGTAAATATCTCGTTATTTAAGAGCCCTGCGAACCGTTTATCCGAAGTTTGCCGCATGGGCAGCTGCGTATTCTAAGTACATTTTTATTCACCTCGAAGTTGCTAGTTCTCGGCGTGTTTATCGTTGTGGGTGCGAAGCGTGGCCGGTTCACAGGGCCATTTAATCTTGGGTACATCTGCCCGCATTCGCGCTCGTCCAGATAGGCTTCAGAGATTATCGATGTTTTGGTGACCTTGATAAGTTCAGCGCGCGACAGTCGCGTCTGACGAAACGAGCCGCGCGAATCCTTTCTATCGACTTCGGCTGCGTTTTTTCGATGTAATCGGCTTGCATCTTCGATTCGGTTAATTCGCGTGTTCGGTTCAGCTACTTTATACCACACAATTGATGAATTTATCAAGAATATCAGCTTTATTATAGAAATTCAATATTTATAAGCCGACATTCCCATAAAATGGTAGATTTCTTCGATTCTTATGCACCGAAGAATAATTGTATTTATAAATATGAACTGAAAATATTAAGCTATTCGATTGATTCTATATTTGAAGGTAATGTGTTGATTACCGAGTAATATCCCGTATCAAGAGAAATTCTGATTGAACGCTAAAGTTTGTTACAGAAGTTAATTCATAAGGAACAAGGGTTAAGCCTTTTAAACGAACTTCAGTCCCAGATCAAAGGAAGAAAGAAACCGCAACAAAAAATTCCACCCAATATTTCTCATAAAGAAGCAACCTTCATTTCATTCCCGAAGCATTTTCTCGTAATACATTCGAGGAAGAAAGTTTCCCGACGACTTAATATTTCACCGAACCGTAACATTTCCCTCGGAACTTTTTCCACCGAGAAAAAACATGGTGAACTGTTGGGATTGCCGGAGGATTCTTGTAATTACTCTCCCATCGTGGCGTTGGAAACGTCGAATAATTAACACGTATCTGGCAGACGTTTAAATACACACAATTCGAAAAGCAGCGTAACTTTAAGTGCTCGTGTACATTTTATACGTGTTTCTCCCAGAGAAATATCTGTGTGTATATTAAACATTCCATTTTAATTTATCTAGATTCGTAAGAACAATTATTCCAATTATTTCAATTCGTTTAGATTCAACGAAACAAGAATCGTTCCTTTATTCTGAAGTCCCAATGACAAATTTCCCAAAATAATTCTCTATACATCAAAAATTGCACATTAATTCATTCAAATTCAAGGAAACAAGAATCATTCAGAAGTCCCGATAACAAATTTCCCATAAACGCATCTCTATATATAAAAAATTGCATGTCAATCCATTCGAATTCAAAGGAACAATAATCATTCTGAAGTCCTAACGTCATTTTCGCGAATAATCATCTAGCAAACAACAAATCGGCGTGATTCGGCCGAACAAACGTTAAGATTCGCACAGAAGTGCGCGTACACGTACACAAACACCTCTCACTGTCACAGTGAAAGGAGAAATCCTATCAATGGACTATCGAGTACGCTTTCCGTGTAAACACAGCGTACATACGCTCTTCTTTGTCCATCCCGTGTCTCCGACCCCTTGTTTCCTTCGTTCTTTCGCGAGCTTGAACAAATACGATACCCGAATCGGATACAAGGAAACCATTAATCACACCGACCACCGTCGTGGATTTTTCTTTGGTTAGTGGAAGATTTTCAACGGTTATCTGCCACCCCGCCGGCGCTGGATCCTCGATCCTTATTAGCTGACCGCTAATTCACTCTATTTCCATGCACTCGCATGCAACTGCATGGAAATTTAGAAATGCAAACGCTGCGCGCGATGAGAATTGTTTGAAACATCTAAAGGAGCTTCTGACGTTCTTCAAAATATCCGTTAATTTGTATGAATGTTATAATACATTTTTAAAGACTCGAAGTTTGGTTCAACTTAAAAATCATAATTCCGTAATTGAAACTTTCTTTATTCCAATACTTCTTCATTCGAAAAAAGAAACTTTTGACCACTACCCTAGCAAAATTATAATAATCTTTCATTATCATTCTAACGAAGGATAATCGAATAAAATTAACAATACAAATTCACTCGCAAGAGACCAGTAAACGATAGAAAAAGAATTCACGATGAAGGAGGATGATTACAATAATCGACAGATGGAAAACAGTCGACGCTCAGAAGCCATTAACCCGTTCGCTATCGGTCGAACGTTTTCGAATGGCAAAAATTCATTTCAAATAAAAAATTCTTCCTGTATTTATTACAAATTATGTCGTCGTTAGTGGTAATCGAAGCAATTAATCCATACTTCTAGCGCGAACTGCAAGGTATCTCTTCGCTGGCAACGAACAGGTTGAAATGACTGTCACGTGTGCTCTATAATGACAAAGCATAGTGTAAAATAAACAAAGTAGTCATCGATTTACTGCGATTCTACACGAATCATCGAACTCCCGCGAAATTAACCAAAGAACGCTCGTTAGACGCGCGAGTCCGAAATGCGTTAAAATCTCGCGCGCAACGCGTTAATAAATTCTCGCGACGATGAAGATCACTTCTGGAACGAACGCCGGCGGCGAACGGGTTAATTGATTAACGGGCCGCGATGTTGGCGCGATTTTCGCGCGGAGAACGTCTTCCGCGAGGCGCGACCCGCCGATCAATGACGATCCAACCTCTCGCGAAATTGTTTTCGTAGAAACAGTTGGCGAGTTAACTTCTGACACGGCACAGATTGCGGCCCGTTGATTTCTCCTCCGCGTCATAGTCTTGACCCAGTGTGCGACGCGTGTATCGTCGCGAAATTTTCCGCTAGCCGAACGGGGCACGCGTTCCTTGCGCTCGCCCTTTGCCGTTCCTAAGGACGCGCCATTTTGGTGAACCGAGTCTCGGCTGGATCTTCGATTCCGGTTGCGCCTGATCGCGCTCGGATTCAGTGGGATCAGGATCATCGCGCAGTCGTTGATCATTGTGGATTTGCTGGGATTCGAACTAATTTTCTTGAATATTTATATCGTTCAGAAGGAACATAAGGATTTGGAGAAATCTAAGTCTTCAGAAAATTTAGAATATTAATTTACAAAATTTTCCTAGTTCGGAAGGAACATATGGATTTGGAGAAATCGAAGTCTTTAAAAAATATAGAATATTAATTTGCACACTTCCGAATTCTATGGTGTAGGCATAGAAGAAATCCTTTACGACAGAAATGACGAAATAGTTAACATTGTCGCAGCAGTCCCATGACCGCAGCTTCCAAGTGACTCAGAGCAACTATAATTCACAAGCTACGTCAAATAAAACTGTCGAGTAACGTAAATAACTAGATAACAGAGTAGCGTAAGAATCGTAGTAGCAAACAATTAATAATTGCTCCTTGTATCTCTGTCACAAAGGAACAAGTGCCACGTAAAGCTGTTTTTCATCAACGTAAGTACCAAGAACCGTTCAGTTACTAGCATCAGAAGCAGCAACCCTCAAACACCTAGAGTATCTCCGAGTTCATCGCTTACAAATCATCAAACTCTCCCCTCATCTCCAATAACTCGACAATCAGCGAGCCCCATCAGAAAACCATCGAAGTTCTCGTGTTATTCAACCGTCGAAATCAAGCAGCCGTTCAACCTATAACCCTTTGCATTCGAGAGGTGACTCTCAGTCATTTGATTTCCTACAGCAATACGAAGTTGAATATTTAGTATTCCAAATGAAACTTCGTACTGCTGTGTGGAATATTTAAATAAAATAGCTTTGTCGCTTAATTTATCCGTGAGTTATTGTCAAAATCAGTTTCAAAGAAATGTTGAATATTTCCAGTGGAAAACTTTCTAGTGCAAAGGGTTAATATTCCCCTCATTTCTCTCTTTCTGTTAACCCTTTGAGGACGAAGACTAACACTAGAACAACCGTACCAGTGAAAATGACTTCAGTTTTTCTGTTCCGCAATTATTGATATTTTCAAAGCATTGAATATTCGGAATGATCTTGAAAATAAATAGTTTCACTCGAAAGCTATAATGACCGTCTGAGGAAACCGAAAATAATCAGTTACTACTGTGATTGGTTTCAGTTTGTTTCGCAGTTATCGATATCTCCAAAGCATCGAATATTCGAAATGATTTTGAAAATTAATGCTTTCACTCGAAAACTATAACGAACGTCTGAGGAAACCGAAAATAATCAGTTACTCACTACGATCCGAAGTCCCTTCCTCCGGTAATTATCCCGTGAACCAAGCCGAGAAACTGAGCTGCCCCCTTCGCGGAGCGTTCTCCGGCAGCCCCTGTCCTCCGAAGTCTCTAGTAAAGAGGAAGACGGTATCTGCGCGAGGATCAGCGCGAGTATGTACCACAAGGCGAGATAATCACTGTCACCACCGCGAGTATCGTGAATCGTGGGATCGGCGTGCGAATCGAGCGAGAGATAACGTTGGCCGATCTCGTCGTCTCGGTCTCTCTCCCCGGTTTTATCAGCGCGCGTCGTCGTCGAGCAATTCGCGGCTCGTTTACACGCGGCGCAATCAAGGTTTCGCGACTATTGGTCCCGGGGGGCTGTGCTCCGCTGTCTTATAAGCTTAGAGCTGTCCCCACCTAATCGAGTCCGGTTTGTAAACGCGATGCCGAGCCCCTTCTCGTGCAGCCAGCTTGGCTCCAGACGTCTCCGGGCGCTCTCCGCCGTTCTTTTTCCCCCC